AGACCCTCTAAATTGTGTAATATTCCTCCGTGTTGAAGAGTTCTCAGTGGTCTGGCTGTTTTCTACAGGGAAAAACTCACTCTCTGCACTTTCTAAAGCCTGAAGCAAGCCCCTCTTCTTTCCTGAGTAGCTGAGTAGTAAACCTGGGAGCAGAGGAGGGGAGTGGCTATACCAGAAACCGGCACACCCTTCAGCCAGGAGCTCTGACATAGCTGTGATAAACAAGCTTGTAGTTCTTCTGATAAAGCATTTCAGACTTGCTGAGCTGTACTTGTAAGTGAAGCTGTCGTGAAGGAAAACTCTTTGCGTCATTCTCAACCTGCCTCATAAGTTAAAGGGGTTTTGGGGGGTTTATTTTAATCATCTGCTTGCTGCTTCCATTTTGAATTGTGTTATGGTATCTGCCTGGTTCTGTTATGTACTTATTCTTTTCAGCCTTTTCACTGGGTAGGTGATAGTGTTCCTCACTGCGACAGGCTTACTATACCTAAGCAATTGGTAATTAAAGTATGTGGCCTCAGCCTGGCAGAGCACTTGTGCATGCATAATCCAATGTGAGAAGTGCTGCTGGAACAAAAACCGCTGCTTGTATGCCGTGAGTACAGCACATACTTATCTTGCTGGCCTCTGAGTCTGTAGTCCTAAATCAGAAAGGCAAGGGAGCACATAAAATACACCCAAGCACCTAATTCAGTGCAGCCTAGAATGGAGTGGCTGCTGCATCATAATTTATTAACATAACCTGCTCAGTAAATGTAAATGTTTCATCACCTTTGTGCTTTTAAATCCTGTTAAAGCAAATTCTTCATTACGGATGGGAAGTGTGTACAAAGCAGTCTTCACATCTGTATCGTTTCTTGCCAGCTCTTCTTTGACTTGTTTACAGCTAAGAGTCCATACTAAGCAAACAAGGGGGAAAAACCCCAAACCAACCCTGACACTAATTGTATTGAAATTCAGGCCTATTCAGTAACTCTGTAACATAACCCTATTTAAAAAAACATAAGGTAGATGTTTAATATCTAAAGTTAATGCACTCTGAATTAGCTGGGTCATGTTCTTTCATCCTTCGTGCAGGGCCATGTCCTCAACCGCTGGGAAGTGAGAGTTAGATCTTCATTATGTAAACCCGTTTCTGGCCAATAAGGACTTGGAGCAAGGTATTCATCGCAGCCCTTCATTATAGCAAATATCCTACTGGTAAATTCTTCTCTGTGCCTAAAACTGTAGTAAGTAAAGCCATGTACTAAATGAAGTTAAGAGTCTAGCTGCTAATAACCTGTATATAAGTTTAGCTCTAATCTGTGTATCTCGTTTTGTGTGTATATGTTGCTGTGATTTTATTTTATCCCTTTGTGTTAGAGGTAACTGTCTTGCACAAATCTGATAAATCATCTATTAAACTGGGATAAAACCAATGAAGCCATGACTGATGGGAGGTGGCATTTTATTCTGTGTCATGTAGCAGGATGCAGCTTTCTTGCAGGAGGGAAGTGACCTGTTTTAGTGGCTGATAGCAATTGAATAACTTTTCTTTTTGCAACAGTGGATGTGTGTGAATGTCACACGTGTGAATGAGGAGGAAGGGGAACAAAACAAGAGGTAGGACTATGTCTTCCAGAGGTGTGTATTCTCACTGCTGGACTTCCAAGAACTGATCAGGGTCCTTGCAGGCATCAAGTTCATCCTGAACAGTGTCTGAAGTAGACAAAAATCCCACCCCCGCCAGTGTTTTGCAATGATAGAGTTACTTTTCCAAAAGGAATATTGTATATGTGAAAGATGTAACCCACCTTTGTGTTCTTATGGGTGTTACCTTAAGCGAGTGTTAATCCTCCTGAGGGTAGAATTCTTTCTTGTTGCACAGGATGAAGTTCCCCATTAGAGGATATTGTTGCCCATCTCTGCTGAGTGTGTATGTGTGTTTGCTGCCTTTCTGTCTTTTGTTTGGACACTTGCACATCAAGACTGCTGAGCTACTTCCAATCAAGAATGCTTGCTGACTCTTTAGTTGCTTCTGTGAAGCAGAGCATAGAGGTGAACGCTTCCTAATGAAATGCAGCAGAGCTGAAGTGGTGGCAAAATCATCTTGTGCTGAGGCTTGTCCCAGTTTCAGCAGGGAATAGTTTAGAGCCAAAAATAACAAACTTTGATTTAACAGCCATGATGGCAAAACACTCGGAAGAACAGATGTTTGGGAGTGAGTGTCTGCTCTCTGCTCAGGCTTACCCAGGGCAAGGACTGCAGTCAGTAGCTTCAGCCCGCCCTTCTCCATGCAGGCTGCCCTGAGTAGGAGCCTGGAGGGTGGCACAACCTGGGAGGAAACCTGGGAACCATTCCACTGTTTTGAAGATGGATATTTTTATATACAGATGTTGATCATTTGTCCAAATATCAGGGACCATAAACAATAAAATTGAAATCACTCGAGGGGAAAAAATAACTTCAGTTTGTATGAGCTACTTTTTCATGCCCCAGGTAGGATGTTGGTGGTAGCCAAAGAGCAGCCTGTCCCTGAGCTTTCCAGAGCTGCCTCAGGGCTCAGGTTCATGTCTCAGCTAGGACAGGGCAGGTGGCCTTGTGTAACCGTGTCCAGCTCCAGTCTGGAGCCTGTGTGAGAGATTTCAACTTGGCTCAGTCTATAATGAAGCTTTAAGTTAGTGCCTCACCTTCTGCTGTGGGCTAAAGCCTCGCATAGCTGCCCGTGTTACTGTCGGCCTTTCAAGTGGCTGCACCTTTGGAACTAAGCTTTTGATGTTTTGACTCCTCCTTTGCTTGTTTTATATATATACACAAACACACAGATTTGGCTTCTCCCTTAAAAACAGCTTCATTAAGTGTTATCCATAAACTGATCAGGAAAAGCATGAGGCTAAATGTAGATGATCCATCCCTGGCAGTGTTCAAGGCCAGGTTGGACAGAGCCTTGGGTGACATGGTTTAGTGTGAGGTGTCCCTGCCCATGGCAGGGGGGTTGGAACTGGATGATCTTAAGGTGCTTTCCAATCCAAACCATTCTGTGATTTTAGCCCAGTAACTTGGGCTGTTTTCTGTACTGGCAGGGGCACTTTGACTTGCAGTGCTCCTGAATGAACTCAGGCTGGTTTGTAACTGAACTCAGTAAGGTAAAAGGTACAGAACCCATTCTTTCTCTGGCTGGTTGGGCATCATTATTCTGGAGGAGCAGGATAGCACAGCTCAAATACAGCAGTTTGTGATGCAGTCATGGTGTGTGTGGGGTTGCTTGGGCTGCTCTGGAGGCACCCACGAAGCTGATGGTTCACACTTCAGGTGTATTCTTTGCCCCTACAGCTCCAGCTGCTTTAGTCTTGATGACTTGGATGCTAAGCAAGTAGTTTAACAGGTCAGCACTGGAAGAGAGGGGTGTCAGTGGGGAGCGAGTGGAAAAACTTGAAAGTTTGTTTACCTGTAACACACACACACACCTCTAAACGTTACCTTTAACGGCTGCTGCTTTAAGGGTCTGACAGCAACTTGGCTCGGCTTTATCTACTAGCCTACTTTAAGTAGTGTGAGAGGTTGTGAGTAGCACTGAGAGGTTGCGATAGTGCTGGCCACAGGTATGTTGGTAACAGTTGTGCAGAGCATGGTAGTTGGGGGCCTGTGTTCAGAAGTTACATGACTGCAGTGATGATGGCAGAGCTGGGGCAGGAAGAGCCTTGGAGCAGCTCAAGCCAGTTAAGAGAAAAGGCTCTGCATGCACAGTGAGGCAGTTCTACCATCCCCTTAGCACTGCTTGGGCCCTGGCTGAAGAGTGAGTTATCTCTCGAGGTATGTGCTTTGTATGTAACTTTGTCCTGTACTTACTGCTGTTAACTCATCAGAACAAGCTCCACCACCATAAGCTCATGTACTGGCACTAGGAACTGAGCTGAGTATAGTGATTTTAAAACAGGTGTGTGAATATGGATGCTCCCTTAGATGTGGCTCTTGGAATCATAGAACTGTTTAGGTTAGAAAAAACCCTTAAGATCCTTGAGTCCAAGGGTTAACCGAGCACTGGGAAGTCACCACTAAACCATGTCCCTGAGCACCACATCTACACATCTTTTAAACACCTCCAGGGATGGTGACTCCACCACTGCCCTGGGCAGCCTGTTCAGTGCTTGACAACCTTTGTGGTAAAGAAATTCTTCCTAATATCCAATCTAAACTTCCCCTGGCACAACTTGAGACCATTTCCTCTGCTCCTATCGCTTGTTACTTGCCAGAAGAGACCGACCCCACCTTGTTCCATCCTCCTGTCAGGCAGTTGTAGGGAGCGATGAGGTCCCCTCTGAGCCTTCTCTTCTCCGGACTGAACCCCCCAGGTCCCTCAGCCGTTCCCCATCACACTTGTGCTCCAGGCCCTGCACCAGCTCTGTTGCCCTTCTCTGGCCCTGCTCCAGCACCTCAATGTCTCTTTCAGTGAGGGGCCCGGAGCTGAGCACAGGATTCAAGGTGTCATCTGCAGGTGTTACTGAGGGTGCACTCGATCCCCTCACCCATGTCACTTATAAAGATACTGAACAGAACTGGCCCCAGTACTGAGCCCTGGGGAGCACCACTTGTGACCAGCTGCCAACTGGATTTAACACCATTCACCACCACTCTCTGGTGCTCCTGCACCTCTTAAGATTTCCATTGCGATGAATTTCCATCCTTCCTGGCCTCTTCTGCCCTGCAGAACTGCTTCCCAAGGGACTCTGTCAACCAGTTATATGAGAGAAGCCCTTGACTCCATCACTTCTTTGTGCACCCCTCCACCTGCACAGGGTCTTGCTCTCAGATAGTCCCTGCATCACATGGAAGCAAAGGCATCTTCATCACAGGGTTGATTCCCAACTATAAATATCTTTCCCTTGAGGTAAGGAGGGTCCTTTGGATGGAGCCAAACCCTTCCAAGGGAACACAGCCTTCTCTTGTATGTGGTGTTTTTGTTTGGTCTCTTGTTTTCCCCTCAGAACAGGGCTTTCTCTTCCCATGCAAGTAGCTCCTCCCAAAGCAGGAAATTCCTTCCCTGGAAAGTCATCCATGCATCCTCGACTACTTCACTGGATGGTCAGATGTGTCCTTACCTCGGGGGACCTGCAGGCAAGATAAGGTTTGTTAATAGGGATAGTCATTAATCCCCAGCCTTTGGATTTTTCTGCTTGGTCAGAATTACCTGCTGCTACTTGCAGCCAGCAGAACAAAGTAACCCAGAAGTAGCTTTAGGATTCAAGAGGCCTAAGAAGAGCAGATAAACCAGCTGCCTGGCCTGAAGGGACAGCGTGGCTTCAATTTCCCTTCTGTCTGTGGGTCTTAGACCCTGCCCCTGAGCTTCAATGAATGTTTCATCAATGATTCAGGAATCCCAAAGGCATCCTGAGAGGTGCCCAAAGCTGCTCAGGCACTGCTATCGCAGGGTTGGGTGTCTGTATAACAAAGAAATGCAGTGGCTACAGTGCCCTCATGAGGGACCAATGGAGCCCAAGTGTTCTGGGGTTTGGATTTTTTTCCCCTCATTGTTTTTAAACAGAAAAGTATAATTCCTTCCCCAGTAAAGAACTTGATAAAAATGAGAACATTTGAGTTTAAAAAAAGCCAAATACACAAAAATCCTTTGCTTAACCATTGCACGGGGGTGCAGTTCCCAGTTCCCTATGGCCAGAGAAGAACCCTGTGGAGCTGCTGCCTGAGGTCCAACACAGCTATTTGCCCCTCTACTTGTGACTGCTTCACCCACTGTGGTGTCTCCACCAGCCCTGCATCATTGTCACCTTGGCCACCCAGCTCTCAAACCAGCCCCTCCATGTGTTGAGCAGCAAAACACCCCATGGGGCAGGAGGCAGCAACTGTCTGATTGGGTCAGGAAATGCTGCTAAATGGTGCTTTCATTGCATAGAAAACTGCTGTCCACCTTCTACAACCAGCCCCGATGCGCTGCTGTAGTGCAGGAGCCAGAACACCCTTCCTCTCCCTTTCCTGGTTTGCAAGTGAAGTTGCTAAAAAAGAATTTGACCAGGAGACCAATGAGACAGGGCTGGCAACAGAAAAGGGATGTTTCACCCAGAGACCAGCCACACGTACCAGAAGACCCAGCTCAGTGATTACTGCTGAACTTCACACTTATGTATATAGAACCATAGAATGATTCAGGTTTGAAGGGACCTTAAAGCTCCTCCAGCTCTCCAACCCCTGCCACAGGCAGGGACACCTTCCACTAGAGCGGGTTGCTCCAAGCACCTGTGTCCAACCTGGCCTTGAACACTGCCAGGGATGGGGCAGCCACAGCTTCTCTGGGCACCCTGTGCCAGTGCCTCAGCACCCTCACAGGGAAGAACTTATGCCTCATACCTATCCTAATTCTACCCTGTTTAAGCTTGTTTAAGTTAAATGTGCATCAATGCACAAAACTGCCCCCAAGCTCTCCCAGAAAGTGCACATCCACCTCCCAGCATCACCACACTCCTGCCAAGGCCTCCCATGGACGCCAGGGCAGGTCCCATCTCCTTATCCATGGCTTTTTCAGCCAAGGAGCAACGCAGGGCAGCTGTGTGTCCAGGCACAATCATCCTTCATGAACCTGGAGAACCAGCATAGAGCCTCAGAGCCCTGGGCACACTCATGCTCAGTGGCAGCTACCACAGCACCCTGCTCTTACCACTGCCCACGCAGGTCACTTCCCTCTCTGATTCAGCCTCAGAGCTCTCGTGTAACGGGATCACTCGTTTCCTCAGAGGTTTGGGGAGGTCAGCATCACCATCAGATGTTCCTGATGTACTTTTCCCTGTCATGCCAGCGGAAGCTCTCCACTCTTTGAGCTGTTGTTATTGTAAGCACCAGAAAACTGTGCAATCTTTTATCTGTCCTCTGCTTGCTTATCCAAGCCATGAGGAAGGGCAAAGGCTGTGCTTCCCAGCCAGGAACCAAGGACAATGATGTCAAACCAAGTAACAAAGAGCAGCGATGAGCTTGACCTTTGGTGCAGTCTGATGCACTGATCCTGAATCACGCTTCCTCTCCCAACACCACACCTACTGCTCCGGAGCATTTAACTGCCAGCACAGGAATAAACTCGGAGCCTGGAAGCTCAGACTCACGTGTTCAATGAGTTGTTCGTGCCCTGACTGAAGATAAGCCATACGTTGTACTGATGCTGAGGGTGGGATGACACCAGAAGGAAAAGAGCATTCACAGAAGCTGTCACAGCAGGAGAGAGATTATTTCTTCATATTTAAGCAACTATTAGGAAACAGCTGTCAGCGCATCTCTATTTCCAATACACAAGCAGGCACAAAGGGTAGAGGATCAACAGGGTCTTCAGGCTTCATGACACAAACTTCATTACTGTGGAACATTTCCTGCCTCCTAAATGGATTGAGTTTGCCTGATTAGGTTTCACTTTTATTTATGGCATGAGTTTTCTAGCATGCTCAAGCCCAGGGAATGGCCCACAATGTCATTCCTGGTTCTCCTGCAATAAACCCCTGGGCTCTGTTGAGAGCAGTGATGCCCCTCTGCAGCAGTGATGCTTCCTCTGAAGCCAAACCTGGTTTAGTTTTATGTAAGGTAAGACTGTCGTGGTTTAAACCCAGTCAGCCATAAATCACGCAGTTGCTCTCTCACTCCCCCCCTTTTCTTCCCCCAGCTCCTGGAGGGATGGGAAGGAGAATTGAAAGAATGTAACTCCCACAGGTTGAGATAAGAGCAGTCCAGTAACTAAGGTATAACACAAATCACTACTGCTACCACCAGTAATCATAATGATAAGAGAAATAACAAGGGAAGAGAATACAACTGCTCACCACCTGCCGACTGATAACTCGCCCCACCCTGCCTGACCGAGCACCAGCCGATACCTCCTCCACCCCCACAGTCCTAGCCCTTCTGGGTAACTGCCCCCAGTTTATACACTGGGCATGACGTGCTGTGGTATGGAATACCCCTTTGGTCAGTTTGGGTCAGGTGTCCTGTCTCTGCGTCCTCCCGGCTTCCCCTCCTCCCTGGCAGTGCATGAGGCTCACAAAGTCCTTGGTCAGACTAAACATTTGAGCAGTAACTAAAAACATCGGTGTTATCAGCACTGTTGCCAGGCTGAAAGTCAAAACCACAGCACTGCACCAGCTACTAAGGAGAAAAATGGCTGCTAGTGCTGATCCCAGGACAAAGACTCACAGCCAGTAGTAAACCTGTAGTTTCATGGGGCATGGAACCTGAATAATAAACCACAATTACACTGCTCGGGCTTTACCATAGGAAAGGGAGAGTTTGTCTAAGTGCTGCTGTCGGGTCCATCTTTCCCCTGGAAAGGAAAGGCTGCTGCAGGAGGGATGAGGAACGTGTGTCTGCCTGGAACAGCTTGTCTGAACTCCCGGAGAGAAGTGGACTGGACTGATCCTCCCACCCAGGCCGACTGCCGGCCTTCCTCCCAGGAGAGGGTTCTTCCTGCCAGGAGCCCGAGGAGGAAGCTGGAGCCGCCGCCACGGCATGAGAAGCTTCTCAAGAGCAGGGATAAGAAAAGCCAAAGCCACCTGTGAGCTGCCTGTCACTGCTCCATTACCTGGGCTTCATTTCCATCACTCCAGGGATGCAGTTTAATAACCACTTACTGGACTAATGCACGAACACTGTGATCAAAAATCAAGCAAAATCAAGTCTCTCGTTACCACTGCTTCAGTGTTCCTTCTCCTGCAGTGAGATGACTACAGTCAGAACAACCCAATTCATGTGCTCACGTGTATTTGTGCCCCAGCATACCCTGTCTGAGCCTCTGCTACCACAGAGAAGGACACAGGTCTACCCCAAGCCCCATACTGCATCTGCTTGTCCCACACAGACACTTTGGGTCACACATCCAGACGCCCCAGGCACCCACAGGATTCAGCTTCAGATGAAGGCCCCTGAATTTTGCTGCCATGCACAGATGGGACACCTGGTTCCCACTGCCACAACAGAGACCTCACCAATGACATCTGGGCACAGCAGCTGAGTTCATCCTAAAGAAAACACCTAGAAGCAGCTGAGGCTTCACTGATCCCATCTCCAGCAGCTGTGTCAGGACTCTGATGCCTCACACACATCACAGCCAATGTCCACACTCAGGCACCCATGAGATACAAGAAGGAGCTTGTGAACAACTCTGCATCTCTGTGAGGCTCTCTAGGTACCACGGGGCTTGTTTTTAGTGGAACCAGCAGGACACAACACATCACTCTCTACAGCATCACTCCCTGACTGGCCACAGCACCTTTGGTGGTGCTGCCACACAGCTTTCTGCATTTTAAGGTCTTCTTCCAGTTCATTCCTATTTTGAGGAAGAGCAGTGCACAGGGGGAGTCTCCTCATGCAGACAGAGCTCAAATTCCAGCATCTGGGAAGGAAATTTACAGTCTCAGCTATCTAAGTGGGAGGATACAAACTCCCACAAGCTCTGTCTGCCCGAAGTGAGGCTCCTCACCTCTGCCACTGCAGGATGCTGATAGTCATAGAAGAGCAGGGATGACTGAACAACCATCAGATGATGGAGTTGACTTAGGACCAGGCAGCACAAAGAGTGTCTTAGGTGCAAAGATAACAGCCTGCAGTAGTGCCTGGAAGGGGAGTGATAAAAAAAACCCAAGGATTTCACACCATGAAGATAAACTTCAAGTTTGTATTTTTTCCCAAAACTTCAATAACTTACATGGAACCGATGGAGCAGAGCATGCAGCCAGGTCCCCACCACAGCCATGTGACCCAAAACAGACACCCCGCTGGTTTCCTCCTCGTGCTGCTGACACTGGAGCTGGATGGTACCTTCAGAGGGGAAGAGCATCACCAGCATTTGAGATTGATCCAGGTCTTGCTCATGAGCATTAGGGCTGTGAAACACATGAATAAGTGCACAACAGGGGTGTCCTTCCCAGGACAACCCTAAGGTGCTACCAATAAACTGCAAAAAAGCCCCAAACTAGAACAATTAAATGGTAAATGTAGCCAAGTTTTCAAGCTCTTGGGCTGCCAACCAGGACTTGTTCCCAGCAGGAAATCTCAAAGAACAACTAAACGTCAGCAAACTCCAAATTTCTCCCTCCTTTTTAAGTGTCTTGACCATTTTTTAACTGCCTGATGGCTTGGATCCAGGTAATGGAGGGAAGGAAGGAAGGAAGGAAGGAGGGAGTCTTTTATTAAACCACTGTTTGTTCTTCCAACAACGGTCCTAACACCAACTGTTTTAATGGCACAATCATACCCCGACAATAATAACTTAAAAGCAAAGTTTATAATTTGAACAATACAAGTAAATGTTTTGACATGTACTCACTTGTTTGATTCTTGCCCAAATAGTTTCCTACTCCCAGTGCGCTGGGATATCCTTAGGAGGGGTTGGAAAAAGCCTATTTATAGTTGAGTTCTGAGGAGAGACAGTGAAGCGTCGTCTCGGACGAGCATCTTCACTGCAGCAGAACGGGATGTGGCTGAGGGAAAACCTCAGTGTGGAAAAAAAATCTGTGATGAAGCTCAAAAGGAAAGGGAAAAATAATGGATTTATTAGGGGCAACAGCAGGTTCATGGCATGGTTATTTTTGTATCTATTTTGGTAAGTCACTCACCTGGCTGGGCTGTGGGGTCTTAAAACTACAGCACCACTGTGGAGGGACAATAGTGATTAGCAAGTTTATTTACTCACTTTTTCATGTGTCTGCTGTCATTTTACCCCCTGACATTAAAGCACAATGGCCATTTCAGCAACAAGCGTGTGGCCAACAGCACCTCAGTGACACAGGTTGGACAGGGCTTGGAGCAACCTGCTCTAGCAGAAGGTGTCCCTGCCCATGGCAGGGGGTTGGAACTGGATGAGCTTTAAGGTCCTTTCCAACCCAAACCACTCTGTGATGCTCTGACCCAGCTCGGGCAGTGCTGACACTGCTGCCAGTCCCACCAGCACGGCAAGTCTTTCAGGTTGAACATGCGCTATGGACTACTAACTGCTCACCCTTGGCTGCAGCACTTCCGAGTTGGATCTGTGGGATGGGCTTGGAACAGCTGCACTGCCATCCCCCAGAGCCCATCCGGAACTATTTCCCAGGTCAGCACTTTTGATCAGTGCTGCATTTACTTAAGTCAAATGTATTCCCATGTAAAGAGAAAGCTGCATCAGCAAACTGCCGGAGCCTAACGCGGCAGCTCCTCGCGGCTCTCCCTGTGCTGCTCTGCCGAGCACACAATGATGGCTTTGCTGGAAAGGGCAAATGAAAGAACATGAAAACTGGAGCAAATCAGGCAATTTCCACAATACAGGTGGGGTTTGCTAAGCCTTAATATACATCAATTTACGTTATGTGTGTGTGCACTGCACTCTATGTGCAGCAATGGGTTTGTATACAGTATTTTTAGTTCTATAACAGAAACAGCACAACGGGCTTCTTTCTCCCAGGGCCTGGAAAGTTAATAAAATTATAGCAAATGAAAACTCTGCAAGTCATGGAAAAATATACATATTTACACCCTTTCTTCTTTATCACATTACAGCACTGCAGGGTAGAGGAAGATGGTTAACAGTGCCAGCAAGATGTTGCCTGAGTGCTGACATTTCTGGGTCAACTTTCTGATTTCAGAGCTTCCCAACCACCTTGGCTGCATCCTGGAGCATGGATGAACACAGTACCTTGGCCCAAACGGGCTGTCAAGTGATATGCCATACATCATAGAATGGGTTGGGCTGGAAGGGACCTTAAAGCTCCTCCAGCTCCAACCCCTGCCACAGGCAGGGACACCTTCCACTAGAGCAGGTTGCTCCAAGCCCCTGTGTCCAACCTGGCCTTGAACACTGGCAGGGATGGGGCAGCCACAGCTTCTCTGGGCACCCTGTGCCAGTGCCTCAGCACCCTCACAGGGAAGAGCTTCTGCCTAGGAGCTCATCTCAGTCTCCCCTCTGGCAGGTTAAAGCCATTCCCCTTGTCCTGTCCCTACAGGCCCTTGTCCAAAGCCCCTCTCCTTCTTTCTTGCAGTCCCTTCAGGCACTGGAAGCTGCTCTGAGGTCTCCCCTTAAGGAGCCTTCTCTTCCCCAGGCTGAACAAGCCCAGCTCTCTCAGCCTTTCCTCACAGGAGAGGTGCTCCAGCCTCTGGGATGTCCCAGGGTGCATTGCATCAGGTCCCATGGAGTTATATGTGTTCAGGTTCCTCAGGTGGTCACAAACGTGATCTCCTACAACACGAGGGTCTTCATTCCCCCAGTCCCTGCCTTAAGCTTGAGAGATGCAGGAACAGATACTACCATCAAGAACTGAAGCAAGAAAATCACTGAGTACAATCACGCAGCACGTTCTCTGGTCGCCAGCAGGGCAGCTCAATGAGCCTCCCAGCAGTGAAGACGCAATTGCAAATGACCTGACTTTAGTCCAAATTCTTTCCAAAGAACGATAAGATAACAGAGATCTTTTACGCAATCAAGGACATGGAACAATTTCTCCTTCATCTATGTTCATTTTCCGTGATTTAACTACTTCCATGCAGGCTCAGGAGTGCTGCTTTGGAATAAGCCTTTGCAAGAGTGCCTTATTTTTAGACTGGAGCCTGAAGTCAGGGAAATCCCCAGCTGACCCCAAACTCTTTTCAGCAAATAATTACATAAAGATATTCCCATTGATCCAAATTCCATCCAAGGTATTAGACTGACACATACAGAACAGGGCTAATATTTCATTTTTATGCAGTTATTCAATTTGGATAAATTAAATGCTTTTGAAACTAAGCAGCATGTTGAGAAAAGGAAGTTGACTTCAGCTTGAACCCCAATTAGATGCTTAATTCACCATTAGGAATTGATGAGCATTAATCATCTGGGAATGGAAATTAGATTTGACTGATGGGTAATGGTTACGTTGCTGGAGTAGACATTCCTGGAGGAGTGCAGTTACAAATGTGATTAAGAAATGTACCAAAGAAATTTGACATGGAAAAAAATTGGTATGAAAAGAATCACACAAGACCTGAAACAAAGAGCTGGTCTGCCTACAACATGCTACTCACTGGAGGGCCTGTGCATCCCACAGCACTGAGAGCACCTCCTCCAAGCACAGGGACAACTGCACACGGAGACAGTTGTGGACATAGGAGTTTTGGGGTACTTGCTTCCTCACATGTGACGGTATAAAAACTTTGGGCCACCCTCTGCAGACTGGAGCATGAGCAGCAACATCCTTGGACAAAATGTGTTCCAGCAACTCCAGAGCTTCTCAATCCTGCACTGCTGTTACAGCATGTTAACAATAGGAGCAGACCCAAAGCTGTACACCTGCAGTTTCTCCACTCTTGGTGCTCAATTCTGTGATTAAAGAACACAACTTTAAGTAGGTATCACAGAATCAGCCACGTTGGAAAAGATCTTTAATATCTTCAAGTCCAACCATTACCCCAGCACTGCCAAGTCCACCACTAACCCATGGCACTGAAGGCCTCATCTACATGGTTTGTGAACACTTCCAGGGATGTTGGCTCCACCAATGCCCTGGGCATCTGCCCTGGTGCAACTCGAGGCCATTTCCTCTTATCCTGTCACTTGTTACTTGGGAGAAGAGACCGACCCCCATCTTGCCCCATCCTCCCTTCAGGTAGTTGTAGACAGCGATAAAGTCCCCCTGGATTGTTCATGTGTGTTCTAAAACCTTGAATTTTCCTTTCAGAAGCAACACTCCTTGTTTTGACCCAGGCCAGTCTGGGGGTTTGTTTCACCACATGGCTGCAGAAGCCCTGGCTCCACACAATACAAAGGGGGCAACACAAGGCTGTGGCAGGTGAGGTGGTGCTGATGTCCCATCTTTCATAGCAATTGTGTGCATACAACAGCTTATGCTACAGGAAAGGACAATTGCAGTTTCACAACTCCTTGCTAGACAGCAAGGAAATCTGGCATTTACTAAGCACATTTTGAGTGTTTATCTTGGGGCAGGAATCTTCCTGCCATCATAGAATGGTTTGGGTTAGAAAGGACCTTAAAGTTCATCCAGTTCCATCCCCCTGCCATGGGCAGGGATGCCCCACACTATACCATGTCACCCAAGGCTCTGTCCAACCTGGCTGTGAAAACTGCCAGGGATGGAGCATTTGCCACTTCTTTGGGCAACCTGTTCCAGTGCCTCAACACCCTCAGTAAAGAACTTACAGTTGTGTCTATGTTGCCTGTATGAAACACTGTCCGAGCTACAGCCCCACTATACACCACAAACTCTTCAAAACCTCATTTTAAAGAACATCATCAATGTGAAAAGGCAGACACCAATTGTAAAGTACAACACTTTATTGCAGCATTGGCAAAGGTCAGATTTCTGAAGCTGGTGAAGATCGGGCAGCATTTCTGTATGAAATGTTACAATTTTACAAGTCTCTTCCTACATGCAGAAACCCAAAACAGTGGTAAAAAGGATTTTAAAAGAGCTAGAAAAAAGAATTAGTAACATACAGATGAGCTCCTTAACTCAATTAACTACCTCTACCTGAAAGCAAACAAAAACCTATGCTAATAAATAACAGATTGTCAGAAACAGACCAAGAAACCTCATTTCTACTTAGAAAAAAATAAAAATTCTACTTGTTTCCAGACTTGAATCTTTTTTTTTTTCTTTTTAAACTTTTTTTGTTGTTTCAATAGACACAGAGGCTTATCAACCCATGAAGATCAACAAAATATCTGGATCCACCCCTTGACATCCTCCTGTTATGCTGACTGGCACGGTTTGGTTTTCAATGATACATACAATGGGCTCAACTACATCCTTGTCCTCAGGCTGGTGTCAGGCTGTTCCAAACAGTACGAGTCAACACCCTGTGTTCATCAACTTCACATTCTATTTTAAACCTCAACAGACATTTTACCTCCTTGGCTCTGAAGTGTTTCACCCCTCCCCACTCCCTCTTTCTTGCTCATCTGGCAGCAAAAGGGTATTGCTTAACCACAGACTTTCTTGCTGAGGAGTGTTTGATAAGAAGTTTTCCTCCGTGTCAGGGTTTTCTTTTAGACCTCACTGTTTGCTCTATGTTTTTCTACTGTAGCTTTGCAGCCCCCAAAGAAAATCCTTCCAACACAAAGCACTCTATTTGGAGATAACGCAACTTAAGTCAAGTTTAGAACTCTGCTCTCCCACATACTAAACTGGCAAAAGACCTTTTCAGTTCCAGTATAATCCATCTGAATTTCAGGTTGATCTTCGTTTTCACCAAGCTGCTCACTGGTCAAGTTAACCATCTCCTTCATTTACTTCTGCTCTCATGAGAAGATTGACCCTCAAGGTGGTTCCTGTAACAAAAAGCTGCTTTTTTATGTATTTTATTTTTATTTTTGGTAGGCCATGACTGGAAGCTTCCACTTGTTCCATGAGGGTTTGGGGGGGAAGAGGGGAGGCGGTTGTTCTGCCCCACGGCCCCAGCCTGTCCCATGTTTCGATTCTGAACGCTCTAGACTGACATGCTGAGATGTGTCCACTGCTCTCATTTAATCGCTGGAGGACTCCACTATCCACAACATCAGAGATACAGGACCTAATGAAATGACACTTGCTGCTGGATCAACGTCTCCTAAGAAGAAAAAGGAGAAGAAAAGAAATAATATAACATTAGATATCCAACACTGATGACCTCCCTCTTTTGTTTTTGTTTTAAAGAGTACAAGAGATAATTGAAAATGACGGCTAAAGATTGTGCAAGCTGCACGATGAACTAAGAGGTGGATCTGTGACTTCAAGACAATGCCATGCCAACACCAGAATGTCTGGATTGAAGTTAATGACAGTGACAGGCTACAACAACAAGCTAGACTCAGACCAACAGAGAAACTAGATTTATGCTGCTAAAGATTTCTGGTGTACCAGTAAGAAGTGAATTCAAAGAAAGCTTCAAAATATAATGGACACCAAGTACATAGTGGATGATGTATAAAGTGTGTTTGTCCAGTAACTGAAACAGGAAATCATGTTAAAGTCACATTTCTCCTTATTATCCATACTCTGATTTTTCATCATTAATGCAATACTCTATTATAAGAATGTTACTAATAAAATCCTAGCATCCTGTTATTAACCCTTATGCTTCATTTTTCTTTATTAAATGGGATAAAGAGAAGTCAGATGCAAATAGGAGAACTCAAACTACCAATTAAATGGAATATGATTTAGTTTGTAAGCTTATGTCTACATCCCAACCGGCCTTTTGACGCAGACAGGTCCCTCTTTCTTCACTATACTTTGAGAACAGCAGTGAGTTTTGAGGTCAGTGCTTTTAATAAGGAGAGGCTTAACAAGATAATGAACCCCTTGGTAAGGCCTGTTCTCCATAGTCAGGTTTCTCACTGCAGTTATTTGTTTCTTTCTTGGCAATGAATGTTTTTAAATAGATTTCATAAAATGTGGCTTTACTTCACTTTCTAAGCAAGCCATTTATATAAAACACTCTTTTGTGAACGACAGGCTGTTCTCCAGAACTGCAAAAAGGGTATTTCCATGCCAATCTCATCACTGAAAAGAATTACTTTTGTGAATGATGTGTTTCCTGAAGGGATCAGTTTAACAGCTCCATAGCCAAAGTCCTCTGTTAGGGCCCAAGTGCTACAGAACTGGAAGCAAGAGTGAAAACTGTTGCCTTCCCAGTTCTCCTGAAGCAAATCAAGGAACCCTACCTTTAATGGAATCACAGTAAGTTATACATTTAAGGCTGATTGGCCTTAAAGATGAGTCCCAAAAAGAATCTCCTCCTTGCAGGATTAGCAGGTCTTAAAACCTGAGGCTATACAAGGAAGTGATTATAAACAGCAATAAACTCCACTTTCTGATCCAGCATTTTACACATGCTAAATAACAAGAAATCTGACAAAGCCTGTGTATCTCCCTGCATTGAACTCAATACAGAAAAAGGACATTACTAGATAAAAAAGAAACACTGCAAAAGATTTCTCTCTAGTTTAACAAAATGCATTCTGTACAGCCACAGCCACTACTTCATTCTTCCACTCACAGTGGGTTTATCATAGGCAAAGGAGGCAACACTTCTGTGGGGTTTTTTGGGGGGACTGTTTTGGTTTAGCACCCCATTAGACTAAAACAGAATCACAGAAAACTTTAAGTTCCAAGAGCCCTCTGGAGGTCATCAGGTCCAAATCACAAAGCAAGACCCAGTTGTTCAAGGGCAAAACCATACAAGAACATGACGCTGCCTTCATCACTTTCTGAATCATCTGTTATGATAGCAGATTTAGATTTAACTTCCTAAAAGATACTTGAAACATGGTGCTTACGACAGGTTTAGCAACACAAGAGTTGTCGGTTTGTGCATTACAATGGAATCAACTGGGAGGTGTAGTTACTCAGATGATTCCTAACCTCAGGAAATTTAGAATAAAAAGTTGCATACCTTAAAGAAAGTAACATGCATCACTACTTCCCATAAGTTTGAGTTACTACTGCAAGAAAACAACATATCTTCTTCATATACAAAGAAGAAACACCACAACACAGCTCACTCATCATCTAAGTGATAACATCTGTAATTATACAAATTGGTTCTATCACGTAGGAAAGGGAAAACTCCCAACAGATACTAAAATTAATAGCTCAGTTCCTATTTGCTCTTGGCAAATAGGAAGATACTCTAGTGCCCTCAGAGTCTGTGGGGTAACTTCTTCACTAAAACAGGAGGGCAGTCTGGGCAGGGACTGCAGTTCACACTTCAAAGTCAGAAGACAACCCTCAATATATCCTGTAAATCAGAAGCTGTATAACGTAGGTGACAGACAATCCATTTCAGATGTGGTAAGCCACAGACTCCAATAATATTATCTCCAATAATATTATCTCTGCTAAAATGCCTAATTTCAGTTAGAGTTAAGAAAAGTAACATTCCCTCAGTACAGGCTAAGATGGCTCAACTGAGGCATGACTGCAAGCCTGAGCAGTCACTATACAACAAATAAATATGCCTGCTAAAACAAACTTCCTGGTCCCTGCTTTAAGGAGCTTACAGATTAAATGGAACAAAGAGTGAATTACATAAAACAAAACTACATCAGAATTGCAAGCGCATGGCACAGCTATTTGAACAAGCAAACACTACTTAAACTGTTCACTGGACAATGCCTGACCTAGTTTACAGTGAACAGTTTAAGTCAAGTCCTAAATTATATTCTCCCAAAACAGTTGAAAATGAAAAGCTTTCAAAA